GTATGGTGTTTGGGCTTTGTGTGGAGTGCATGAGCTCTGACAGCAAACAGGTTTTAACAGAATACGAGGATAAATGTTATCAGATCAAACACAGATACATCAGTGTATAATCAGGTTAATCATTAGCTTATTTTGTACCTCAGTTATGTGTGTGCTCTGGCCTTTCTTTAGCTGAGTGTTATGTGAGTGCAGCCCTCTAGCAGCTGAGCAGACACAGTGGGTGGGCAGGTGGTGGGCATGTGTTCAGTGTGTTTGTGTGCGTGCGTGTGTGTGCGTAAATGTAATGGGGGGTGGTGCATGTGGTAAAGAGGCAGTGCGTGCTCACGCAGATGTTTACAGGGGAAAAATCCTCCCAGCCTTTACCAGACTGAGCAGCAGTGATGATGGGAACTCCATCAGAGTGGAAATGTTTCTGTCATTAAGAGTTAAGAGTTTCCCCTTAAGATGATGAGTCATGTTACACTCATGACAAACAAGCAGCTACACTAGAATTCATACATAATACACAAAAACAACACAACACGCAAGTTTTGTCACATTTTACGCAATGTCCCAACTTAACTGGAATTGGAGTTTGTAGGGTGATTCTTGAGTATTATTGTCAATACCATCCATCAGGGTGACTATGGCTCAGTGGTAGAGTTGCACATCTTTTAATGAGAAGTCAACAGCGCATTTTGAGACAATCACTATTGACCAAAGTGCTCTGCTGCACATCAGAGTAATAACATTCTCATTTTAAAGGGAAGGCCGCAAAGAAGAGATTGCTCTTCATTAGCATTTTAAAATGTTCAGCAGTGGGTATTGAGTTTATGTAAAGTGGTCAGCTATCAGGGGCAGAGCTACTGCTAGTTTCTAGACAAGTCGTATGCTGGGCTTACACCACAGATTTTTATGGTCCCAGGCTAAAAATTGAAAGTGTTAAGTAAATCTAGGAGTTTTACTGGAGTCACAGCAGAGTCAGCGGAGTCACAGCGTGCCCCTGTCATCTCGATCGTTAAGTTTAAGAAGGTAATCCGTTTTCTATCAGTCTTTTTCTAGTCTTGGGTTTGCAATAATATCAAATGTGTTTGATATCATCGCAAATCGTGACGTAACACAACCAGCAACCAATAGATGAGCTCTTAAAAGTGGAAAAGGAAACCTGACAGTCAAAACAAGACAAACAAGAATATGTCGACAGTGGACAGTCCAGAAAGAGGGGCCATGTGTATCAGTACATGTGGCGCACACGGGCTGCACCGCAGGACGCATAGTCCTCAAATCATACACCACCACAGATTGATTCCCCACTAGTGGGAAACACTGAACTGTCAAAAAAATGCTAAATGAATTTAGTTGTAGTCTTGTAAATTGTGACTCTGCAAGATTAATAGTGTTTGTAAATTCTCAGTCTGAGACTAGGCTGTGACTAAAAACTCTAAACACTTTTCTTTAGATGTGAGCAGGTGTGAGCTGATAGTTTTTCAAGAGTCTTTCCAAATTTTCTCAAAGTCTTCTGATGTATAAGTAGCATTAGGTACATCCAGAAGTGGCTGATTGATCAACTCTAGAGCACTGGCTGGATTGTGAACAGGATGAGAAGACTTAAAGCAGTCAAGGCAAGATGTTATAAAAGCATGGATCACCCTCTCTGAATTGTCAGGAGGGAGATGAGCCTTTACTTTAGCTGTCAGTCTTGATTGAAAGAAGCTTGACCGAACAGCAAGAGAGATCTGTCTGTCAAATTTAAAGGCTCTTAATGAAAGAGTAGACACTGCCAGCTAGAATGTATCTATCCAGCCATTCCGGGTGTCTGAACTCAGGGACCTCAGTTTTATTCTCATCAAGATTCAGGAAGTCCAGACTCAGCCATGACTAATGTCTTTACAGAGAAAGACTACAGTGAACCCCCACGCCATCATTGAACAGAAAAAAAAAACTGAACTTCATCAGCATAGCAATGGAAAGACACAATAGAAGACAGAGCAAAGGGCCAGTATGTAAAAAGAAAATTAGACTAGGCAAAAAGAGGGCCATCTCAGAGAACTAATCCCACAAATGGACAGAGACAGTTCTATCTGTCAATTAAGACAATCGTCTGGGAGCTGTTTCCTTAGTGCCTAAACTGATCTCTAGCTGTGACAGGAGGATGACAGCTGTTAGGTCCAAGAGCACCTTCAGAAGAGTCTGCAGAACCATGGATGCAGCCGACACGGGGTACACAGGGAAAACATCCCCTGCACTTCCAGTACCTGCCCCTTCTGTCCCCTGCACTTTTCTGGTCTGTAATTCCGAGTTGGATAACATTAAATTCATTTTAGCAAGTTGGTGCTCAAATTTCCATTGCGTGTTTGTATATATGCTTGTAATTGAACTTGGTCTTCTCATGCCAGGGTGATGTCATTTGTCTCCTTCCACACATCCCCGGCACTTTACAGATGATACTCAAGCAGCAGCATCCTGGAGAAAGGCACTGAGGATAGTGTCCTGACACATGCTGTGGCAAATTAAAATGGGTCTGGAGAGGGCTTAGGATTGTGACATTTTAAAGGTTTTGAGCGTTGTGAAGAGGTTTAGGTCAAATTATTTGACATTTTTTCTTCATTTACTTTACACATTTTATAAAATAGGCACTTCATGTATTTCCCAAGTCATCAGGTGGTTGTTTGATGCAATAGAATGGGAGAGGATCTTAAAAAAATGATTTGATAAAACAAAGATTACATATGTAATTAGGGTTCTATGAATCCTGGATGACAGCCAGAGGTGGTGCTTTAAGCACTGAATGAGTCTATATCAGTCTATATCTTCCAGTGACATCAGAGGATCCGTTCCTGCAGAATCTTCTCGCGAGAGCACAAGGATTCTGAGTGACAGAATGCTCTGGTGGTCATGCAGGAGTCATAGAACTGTAGTTGCATATGTAACTTTCGTTCATTTCATCCTTATTGACCACCAGAGGCATTGCCTTAAACACTGGATGACCCATATCAACAAAGTCACAAAGAATTTCAACACCAACATCATTGAGCGCAAACAGCAGAGTCAGGCCACAGAACCACACCCAATAGACGGGGGTGGCATCATTCACCCGATAGAATCTGGCAAAGGTACTTGGCCCATGATGCTGCCCCACAGATGTCCTCCAGGGGCACACCACGCAGGGCCGCCCATGATGTTGAGACAGCCCTAGTAGAGTGGCACTTCACCCCTGATGGTAAGGGGTGACCATTTCTTCTATATGCATGGGTGATGACGTCCAATTAGAAAATCGCTGTTTGGAGAGAGCACAGCCTTTCCAAGGGCCACAATAGCAGAGGAAGAGCTGATCCGACTGTCTTATACTTGCAGCTGTGGCCAGATAGACTCTCAGCACAGGGCACAGCAGTTTTAACTTGTTCTCCCCTTCCGGGGGAACAAATTGTGCCAGGTGGATACACTGGTTGAGGTTTGATGATGACAGAACCTAGGGAAGAAAGGATGTTTTCGGCCACAGGGTAACCCCTGAGCCATCTAGGTTCCACTTTAGACATGACACACTCATGGACAGAGCGTGTAGCTCTCCTACATGTGTCACTGAAGCGGTGGCCAGGAGAAAGGCAGTCTCAACAGAGACCCACTGCCGCTCAGCCTGCACCAGGGGCTCAAAGGGAGGCAAACACAGAGCATCAAGCAGCAGGTGCAGATCCCATGCTGGGACACGCTGTGCTCGTGGAGGGCGCAACCCCCATGCACCTTCCAGAAAAAGGGACACCAATCTGTGGCACCCCACTGTGTCACCATCCACCCGAGTGTGCCATAAAGAAATGGTTGCCACATACACCCTCAGAGTGGCAGGGGACCGGCCACCATCCAAGAGTGACTGGAGGAACTCCAAAATCTTTGAGACTGAACAGTGCACAGGATCCTCGCCCCTGTCTGAACACCATTTAGCAAACAGCTGCCATCTATTTTCATATTGAGTCTGTGTAGAAGGCGCCCTGGCATACAGTGTGGTATTACAGACAGTATTTAAACATTCTGTCAGCAGCGGGTTGGGCCTTGCAGTGGTCAGACCCATAGCTGCAGGCGAAGAGGATCAGGATGCCAAATCCGCCCCTGTAACTAAGAAAGGAGATCCTTCTTGTCAGGGAGGTGCCATGGCAAGCTGTGGCAGAGCCTGCACAACAGTGGGATCCATGTCCTCCCTGGCCAGAAGGGGGCTATCAACAGCAGCCTGTGACCCTGATGGAGGACCCTCTGTAGGGTCTGAAAGATCAGAGGGATTGGTGGAAATGCATAGAGGAGACTGTCCGGCTAGTCGTGGGTGAAAGCATCCTGACCCAGTGGGCTGCTCTCCTCTGTCAGGGATAACCAGAGGGGGCAATGAGTTGGCGCTTCTGTGGCAAAGATATCCACCTCTGCCCTGCCAAAGACTTCCCAGATGTTGAGAACCACTGCTGGATGAAGCCGCCACTCCCCCGGTGGAGGCTTGCAATGGGAGAGGAAGTCGGCCACCTGGTTCTTTTCCCCGGGCAAATACATTGCTCTCCAGCTGGCCAGGCATGGGGCTGCCCATAACAGGAGGGCCTAGGATGCCTGCAACAGCTGTGCCGACCTGGTGCCCCCCTGGTGGTTTATATGAGAGACGGTTGAGACATTGTCTGACCATATAAGTACATGCCGGCCCTCTCAGGAAAGGCAGAAAAAACTGTAGAGCTTTGTGCATGGCCCGCAGCTCCAGCACATTGATATGTACCGAGCGGTCTTGAGTGGGCCACAGCCCTCGAGCTGTTCAGTTCTGCCACACAGCACCCCAACCCGAGAGGGAGGCATCTGCTGTGATGGTCTCCTGCCGGGATGCAATGGAACCCATGGGTACGCCTTGAAGGAGAAATGACCTCTTTCTCCATGGAGCCAGAGCAAGGAGGCAGCTATGTGACACCTGGAGTCTCCTGTGTTGGTGCCACTTTGCATCCAAATAAAAAATGTTCAGCCACCTCTGAAGGGGATGTAGTAACAGCAGCCCTAAAGGAACCATGGTGGCGGCCACCATCAGTTTCCCCAGAAGGCGTAAAAACACCACAGAGTGTAACCATCTGACTCCCCAAAAGAGGAGGAGGCAGTGTGTGACACCTGAGGTTGCTCAGAGTCCAGTCACCCTGGGTCCCAAAAGTCCTGCGCCTGCTGCTGATCAGGCTGTGGATGTGGGCGCTGAGGTCCGAGGTAACCACTGGGATAGGCCTGCAGATGAGAGTGACAGTTCTTACCAGTTCAGCGTCTCCTTTGTCTGGTTTTTGGGGTCATGATACTCTAAATAGTTTCAAAAGGGAACAAGTTAGGACTGCAGGCAGGCCATGCTGTTGTAATCCCTGTTGTCAGAATGTGGTTTGTCATTGTCGTGCTGAAATATGAAGGTCTTGCTGAAATATGAAGGTCTTCCCCGAAAAACTCTTTGTCTGGATGGCAGCAGATGTTGCTCCTAAGCCTGTAGATATTGTTCAGCATTAATGGAGCCTTCACAAATGTAGAAGATACCCATGGCATGGACTCTGACAATCCACATACCATCAGGGATGCTAGCTTTGAACTAAGAGCTGATAACAAACCGAGTGGTCCTTGTACTCTTTAGAGAAGAGGATGCAGTGTCTATGATTTCCAAAAAGCAAAACAATAATGATAATGCTGTAAAAACAAGATGTGACATTTTACACAACATATAAAAATTTTAAAAAAATTACTAACATGACAGGGAAATGAGTTTAATCTTAAGTGTAGAGTTTATTTTATTGATCAGTAAAATTGCACGTTCCCAGTATTTAAAAAGATAATATTTAATATTATCAATAATATTATTAATATATATTTGGGTGATCTGTTTCTAACATTACTTCCTGCCACCTCCAGTTAGAACCGTGCCTTTAAATGCGACCATCACATCCACAGGCGCTAATGTGTGCCCGAGTTCATCTGCTATTTACACAGTGTGAGCTCTGGGCGTGAAACTGACGAGTGCGTCAGGAGTATAATAACGCTAACACTTGTGCTGCATGCCAAAACACGCTACGCCTGGTGCACTATAATGCCATACTGCTGTACACATACTCAAGCACAGCAGCTGACTAATAACTCATCCAGCACATCTAAGACAGATTCAACTATTTTTAAGGAAAAAGACTTTTGGACGTACAGTAAGTCAATTTCATTCTTCTGTGGGCCTGACTGCTGCAAAGTTTTGAAGGCAATAAAGACATCTTGAATCTGAATATAAAGATAAGTAAAAGTGCATTGCACATGATATTAAAAGTACAAAAGAGAATTGGGGCCACAAGAAGAGAAAAAACTACTTACAGGAGGAAGATTTTTTTAATTTCCATTTTGAGATTGAAGTCAAAATTTAAAAAAGTAGAAATTTCGACTTGATTATTGTTGCCTTTAATCTCGAAATTGGAGTTTTTCAATCTCAAAATATCAACATTATTCACAACATTTTGTAGTCTTGAAATTTCAACTTCAATCACAATATTTTAATTTTTAATGTTAAAACTTCACCTTTATTCACATAATTTCAATTTTTTAATCTAAAGATTTTAACTTTACTGTCAAAATTTTGACTTAAACCTCCTACTTGTAATTATTTTTTTTTCTCCTCATGTGGTCCTAATCCTTTTTCATTAGGGCATGTATAATTGCATATGATAGCCAAATTAGTCAAAGCCACAAAGTCTCCAATCATTAGTATGCAGACAACACACAGATAAACCTTCCTCTGAGGCCCTAGAAGCCTAGCTGCTGTTAGAGACTGTCTCAGTATTAACTCAATATTAACTGTTGGATGGTTTAAAACTTTTCTCCATTCAATCAGTCAAAATCTGAAGTAATGTTCTTCAGTCTACAAAATTTCACTGATTTGACAGAGAGCTTCCTCAGTACCTAAATCACAAACATCCAACTTAACAACAACCATACAAAACCCTGGACATTTGAAGGATTTTATAAACTCCCCCTGGACAGCCCCCCAAAAGAGGACATGTCCAGGTAAAAGAGGACGTATGGTCACCCTAGACAAGTCACACAGTCCTGCTACCATCAATCATCTACTTTCTCTAAAATCAAATCAACACTCTAAATCCAAACCTGGAAAAGCTCACTCATGCACCCATCTCCTTGATTGGCTTGATTACTGTAACTCTGTCCTGTCAGGTATCACCTATAAAACAATGTATCCCCTCCACCCCACACCCTCAGACTTAGATCCTTGGGTAGCATCCTTATGATTGTTCTCCAAAGTCCAGACTTAGAACTAAAGCTGTTTTCATCAGGGGCCCCTGGACTTTGGAAAGACCTGCTTGGGATGATGGGCTTAGACTGACAGAGGGACAGACAACACCAGCAGCGCACACAGGGCCTGATCGACGAAAGGTTTGCATGTACAAAAACACGTGCAAACTTGATAGTGTTTCCAAACATGATCTACAAACTGTGTGCACCAAGGATTGCATCAAATCAGCAGAGCAACACATACAATCCATTTAACCTGTTGCCTTCATAAATATGGTTATTGTGGAGAGAGGATGGCATAGGTGCAATGACAGACGATGGAGAGAGAATCCTATGTGCACCTCTTAACATATTTGGACTTTTAGAAATAGATAGTAATAGTAATAGTAATGCCATTTTTGAGCTGCTGGATGACCTAGGGGCTGGTCTGGAGCCAGTCACAAAAAGGATCCATGCCGTATCTCCTGTGGAAAAACCTCCTGCAACACATGCGATTAGGTGCTCGTCTATGGGACCTTTGTAGATCAGGCCCACAGACTTCTGATCGTTGAAACAACGAAACAAAACAAAACAAAAGGTTTTCATTGCACAATGTTTTTTTTCTCCTGCATGATCTACACCTCAATTCTAAACCAAACTAAGTATGACTAAGAAGGAGGACACTCTGTACCTGTGAGGGAGTAGGTCCTATAGATGTCCTGAGAACATGTGCTAAGAGTTTATCAGAGAAAAGGGTTTAAGGTGTGAATAATTCCTCAGTGGGGCTATAAAGCAGCTCAAACCTCTAAAACCTGTAAAATCAGGAAGATCTGCTTTCCCAATTCTCAATCTGACGTTCATTTGTCTCAAAGACTGAATAAAGAGTCTGTTTTTATTAATATGAATATGAGTGATGTAATGAAGTGTTTATGTGAAGCTGTGGTCAGGGAGGAGCCTGTTACCATGGTAATCTGCCAGTATCATAAATAGGAAGTTTACTGTAGGTGCACACTCATACTGATAAAGACCTGCTGTGTGTCTGATTCTGGTGAACTCTACTGACCACCATCCTCAGGTGTCATGGAGGGTGTGATGAAGGTCAGATCCTCCAGCTGACAGTCAGCCCATCATCCTCTCTTGTGTGCTACAAACACTCAGAAACACGCTGTGGTGTTGGAGGCGTCTCAGAGGAAATAAAGAGAGAAGGAGGTGTTGCAGCTAATGAGGTGTGTGTGTTCTGTGTGGGTCAGTGTGTGTGTTGTTGTTGCTTACGCAGGTTGCACTGAGCTGATTTTGTAGTGTGCAGATTCCAGCTGCTGATGAAGGCCACTCTGGGAGGCCCTGGAGGACCTGGGTGGACCTGGTGTTCAGGATTACGGTGTTCCTGTAGATCCTCTTGAGTCCTGGTCTGTGAGCTCATCTGTAGGATCCAGGCTGTGTTATATAACCTGAGTGGGTCAGACTCAGACATATATCTAATACACCCCAGCCTGTACCTTCCTGCAGCTGGGGAAGCAATCAGAGGGGGAGAAACTGTACCACCAGTGCAGATCTTTGACCCAGATCTCTGAGTAGTACCTCCTGAGAGATCCCAAGCTGTAAAATGATCAACAAGGAAGCAACAAATCATATTTTTATGCATTTTTTCATGTTGAAACATGACCCTTAAACTGTGGGGACAAAATAGTAAATTAATCTGCATACTTCTAAAATGTAACAACACAGTTCGGAGGGACAGGAAGACTCAAAATGTCTGTCAGTTTGTGTTTATGTCTTCAAGTCATATGCACTATAAGCAAATTCTGTCTGTCTCAGCATCACATTCACACACGCACACATAAACACACACATCGAAATCTACTGTTTGTAGCAGTCAATCATAACTAAGAGCAGAAAGAGTTTGAGTTAACCTGCAGAAAGAGCTGAGTCCATTAAAAGACTGAGTGCTTGAAACACTCAGTACAGAAACAACCAATGGTAATACCACACACACATGTGTGCACACACATGCACACTCACTCACACACACACAAAAAAAACCACACACACAGTGTTTGGTGTCTGTGGAGTAAAATGATTAAAAAAAAAAACATTTCTCGGACATGTGACAGAGCTTATTCTTCGGCATGCAGATGACTCACACACTTACTGTGTGTGTGTGTGTGTGTGTGTGTGTGTGTGTGTGTGTGTGTGTGTGTGTGTGTGTGTGTGTGTGTGTGTGTGTGTGTGTGTGTGTGTGTGAGTGTGCGTGTGTGTGTACGTGCTTGGGTGCAGGATGTGGACTGGAAATGGTGCTGTGTAGGTGAATAACTTCCACTGAGTAACGAATGTATTTTTATATGTTTTGTCGTGCCATCTACACAAAACCGCAGGATTACCTCATTAAAATGTGCTTTTGGAAAACTCTGGCAAAAGTGAAGATTTTGGAAAACCCCGGTTTTGTGTTTGCGGATGGACATAGGTAACCAGAGTTTTGAATTCCCAAATAACAGTGTCAACTAATAGATAAAGGTCATATACTGTGCATCCTTGTTTATGTCGGGCAGTGGACGGCACAGATAAATACAGAACATATATTTTTGTGAGGAGCAAAGGAGAAGGAATGCTTTGCAGTCGATTATTCTACATCAAATATCCCTTCCTCCACCTTTCTTGTGTCTTGTTGACTTTATACTCCAAAATGATGCCTAAAAGCAATTCCACCTCACGAACAAACTACACAGTGCTTTGTTTCATGTTTGAGGAAGTGATGAGGAGAAAGGGAAGCTTACTTTGATTGGATAGAATGGGTCTAACTTTTTGGCAAATACTACCAAGTCTGGCATGCTTATAACCGTGGTCAATAGCACTTTTATGCGGTTTTGTGTGAATGGGACTTTATTAGAAAACAATGATGTGTGTATGTGACTTTTTTTATAAAGGGGGGGGGGGGGGGGGGGGGTGGATATTCCTTGATAAAAATACCCAGCTACCTATGTACATGGCCTCAGACACATGCTACCTGTGAGTTTCAGTCACATGACTTCTTTGTTGTATCTGTCAGGACTGC